AGAGAGAGAGAGAGACAATTAAGTGTGAGCCATGAGCACACAAATAAATGCTTCATATAGGAAATCTCTAAGTCAACACTACATTTTGTGCCACAAAAGCCAGGAGATTATTGCTTCCATTCCAACATGCATCCCCGCTTTAAGCATGTCAGAGGATGTCAACTATATGCTATATATATTTAATACATACAATTAAATATATTTAATGAATGTTATGTATTATGTACCCTGATGCTGGGAACCCTGATGCTGATTGAAGGCAAAAGGAGAAGGGGACAGCAGAGATTGAGGTGGCTGGATATGGTCACTGGAGAGGTGGGTGTGGGCTTGGGTGTACTCCTGGGGATGGTGGAGGACAGGAAAACCTGAAGGAATGTTGTCCATGGGGCTGCAAAGGCTTTGGGCATGACTTTTGGACTAAACAACAACAACAATGTATTATGTAGTTAACCCTACAGTGAATTGAAGGTTGACAGGTAAACTGTACAAACATTTGCAACATTGAGGGTATGATTGTTCTTGAATTATTTCAATCGTTTTTTCTGGCTGAAGAGATGTTGTTTGTTCACAGTGTGAGGTGAACTGATATTTCAGCCTTCTTAATTGTGTTGTTTTGGGGGAAAAAGCCAACAAATAAACTGGATGGCAGGCCTGGAAAAATATTTATAGAATGCAAGCGCAGGAAAACTGAATCAGAGTTTATGCATGGTAATCAGCTTTAATTGGTGGCCACAGCCTTTGTTTCCAATTATAGCTGACTCACTTTGTTTGTTTGTTCCTGTTGATCAAGGAAGTGTCTTTGTTCCTGAGGAAAGAAATTCTGTGGGCTGTGCAATCACGAACCATGACGAGGGACCTTCTGAAACTTTTCACTCATGTAAATGCTGGACAGTTGAGATGGCTTGCATGCACTTCTTTTCTTCTTTGATGGGTTAAAGCAAAGCATGAGAGCAACCAAGTAAACAGTAGAGGGAAAATGTTAAATATAGCTTAAGCAAGAGGAAAACAGCTTCTGTGATTTAGCATAGTGATTTTGGGGAAGAGGAATTCATTTTTTCTTGATAGGAGATACCACATTCCAATAAATCATTGCAACTCTTGATCAAATTACTAAGGATGTTGCAAGGAGATTATTAATTATTGAAGAGTGCTTTTTGACTGCACCATTCAACACTCCCACCACCTTCAACTCAACAAAACCTTCACATTTAGATACAGTCTGCAGATCTTCAGAAATTCCAAATCAGTGTGCAGGAATAAAACCCCAAGCTTGTGTAACACACAACAACTTGTTTATGCTGCAAGATAAAGTCAACCATAGTGTCAGATAATGAAGTGATAGCTATTTACATATTTTTTCTAGTTCTTGCGTGGTAAAATTTTCAGGTAGGGTTTGGTTTTTTGTTTTTAATTGACCCACTATGCTCTGGACACTTCCTCAGCTACAGACCCACACAGCATTAAAAAAATGCTCATTGCACATGTCATGCTCCCATTTCACAGGACTCTGCTGATCATTTCACTCACTGAAAGACATTTGCAAAAGTATCTGTGATCCATGCTAGGGAAAATTAGTTGTGTGAACATGCATTTAGGGATATGCACAAACAAAACCTGATACAACACTTATGCAAACCAGAAAAAAGGCTGTTTTTCCTGATGCATATGCTGGTGTTCAAACTAGTAAAGTAGATTCTCTATCCGGAGGACAAAGGCCATTATACTATTTCCTGGTGTATACTAGGGATGTTAAGTTTCCCTTGGTTTATAAATTTTGAGAGGAAAAGAGAGTGAGTGAGTGAGCAAGCGAGCGAGCGAGAATTCAGATAATGTTTCCAATACAGTCTGAGGGCTCAGAAAAATTACATCCCCACCTTATGCTTACTCAAGCAGGTAACATATTATTTGGCTATTAGATTGACTTTAAATTTTTAGTGGGAACTCTTCCTCTGCACAAGATTGTTACTTTCCCTTGTTTTGTTTTTGCTCACTCTATCAAACACACTCAATTTTATGTTCATTTAGCTGTGTTTAAAAGGGAATAGGCACTAAACTCTTCCCCATCCAAAGGGCCACATCGTTACAAAAGTGCCACCTGTAATTTTAGGATTTTCACAAGCTTTTCTTCAGGCCTGTGTTTCTGGGCTTTAGAGAATTAATTCCAAAGCACCATCCTCACACAGCCAAGGCCTGGGCAGGAGGGAGAGATTCTTGGCAAAAATACTTGGTTGGAAAGGTGGTATGTGCAGGGAAAAGGGCCTTTAATGTTTTTTTTTTGTTTGTTTTTGGTTTGATTTTTTTAGCCCAATCAGCTATTCAAAGGAGTGAAAGAACAGAAATATTTTTAAAAGGGAAAAGAAATATTTGTCCACTTCCCTCATACCCTCACAAAAAATCATGGAGAAGGTGTGATGCTGTTAGCCCCTGTCTTCCCAGTGGGAACGGGATTCTCATTTCCCCCCAGCCCAAAGCAAGCAATTCATCCCCTCTCCCAGGGAGAATGTCCCACAATCGCTGAAGACGGCATGATTAAATTGTGAGTAAGGCCACTGGGGATAATCTGACTGCTGAGCAGAAATGTGTTTTAGCTACTTGAATAAGAATACAAAGGAGACTATTGAGAAGGCACCAAATGATTTTTTTCCCTCCCAAACAACAGGGGAGGGGAAAGGAAAACAGCATTACATTTGCAAGCCAGAGAGAGGGAGATGCTGTGGGGTTGAGAAGGCAGGGGAGGCAGGGGAGCGGCCAAAGGATCTCTGTGCTGCTGCTGTTTTGCCAATGCTAAGAAATCCTAGTAGGCCAAGTCCTCTTCACCCCGCAGCCCAGTGGCTTACCAAGGTCACTCCTCCTGGCCTCAGAACAGTACCACATGTTTAGCACACACTTTGGGAGAAAACCATGACATATTAAAAAGTTAGGATATAGCAAGTCTAAAGAAATCTGGGCTATCATGGCAGAAGTATCATGAAGAGGTCGGGTTGAGGTGAGTGCCACTCCAGTGAATCCGGCATGGCAGTGCCAGTAAAAATGCCCCATGTAAATTTACCTGGAATTCACAAGTAGGGAAATTAATTGCACCCTCAGTGCATAACTTCCAAATTTGGAGTGATTTGCTCATCCATGCATTAATAGGACGTTCGTTTCTTTAGGAATGGAAAGGAGTCCCTGAGAAAGTCTTGTGCCACTGGAATGAATAGAGCCACCCAGAGCCATTGCATGGCATAATGCTGTTTTAAGAGGTCCATGAAGGTTTGGGGTCCTGAAACAATCACTGATGAATGGTTGACAAAGGCACAATTCTCCTACCTCTCCAATTAAAACCCAAACAAGAGAAGTTTGCCTTTAAAAGTTTTTCTCGGCCATGAAGCATGAAGGGTTTCTTCTTCTCCTATACCTGCCTCAGGAAAACTTTGCCAACACCTGTATGCCAATTCTGGAGCAGTGTGCAGAAGTGGCTGAGTAATAAAGTCTTGCATTTCAGGCTCCAGGAGAGCTGGGAAGGGTTAATGCTGGGCTTGTTTCTATTCGGTGGAAGTTTTTCCCCCGAATAGGTAGTATTTTAAAACATGATGCGCATTCCTCAGTATGAAGCAATACAAGCCGGACCATCATCATCTGAGAACCATTTCCCTCAGTTTGCTATCTGTCTACCTCAGTTTGCTATCTATCTACCTAAGTTAGGATGTATCTACCATGGTATTTAAAGGAGTACCTTGTTCTACATGGACATGCCCAAACGGCAATAGGCCTTTTTCTATGAGCTCCAACTATCTGAGGATTGGTAGGGGTGGAACTACGAAAGGGTTATTTTCAGTAGCTGCTCTGTCTCTGGAAAATTCTTTCTTATTCTTGCCTGGCACCATATCTATTTTGGGGGAGCAGGGTACCAGGTGATACTTTTTTATTTTCCTGGGATATTTTTGTTTGCTTTTAATCTGTTCTTAATGCTTCTGATCTTTTAATTTGTTTTCTACCATTCAAGTTCTTTTTTATTATTATAGTTGTTTTAATAGTTTGATTTGGTAAGCTGCCCTGGGAAGGGTTATAATTGCAAATTGAAGTGTGGGGTACAGATGAGGTAATATTAAAAGACTATTAAAGTTCTCTTTCAAGGGTCAGTTCTACCTCTCTGCCAATGTGTCTGCTTTCCCAGTAACCCATCTGAAGCTGATGCCAAAGAAGATTGTGCGCTGCAGGCTAAAGTTTTTAACTGGGTATACCCAGAGTATGCACATCACCTGCTAAACTTATTACCATTTCCAAGGCACTCTGGTTTGAATAATGTGAATACCCCATTATTTAAGCAGACATCAAAGGAGCTGATTTTAGTAAAAGAAACTTTACTAAGAAACTTACATGTGTTATTAAATTCCAGAATGTCACTGCCATAGCACTTTAAAAGTCTGGAACAGGAATATAAGGGCAGTTGGACAGAGCAATTACTTGTATTCTAAACACAATTATGTGTATCCTGGTGTAATTTACATGTAAAAGACAAGTGGAGGCCTCCCTCCTAGGTCAGGAAGGGTATGTAGGGCAGCAGTGAAAATGCCACCTCTTCCTGCCTTCTCTCCTGGTCTGATCAGCATCAAGGGTGGGGCGTGCCAATCAAGGGTGTGCCAATGGCCCTTGGGCTCAAAGGGCTCCTTCCCTGAACCTGTGGGCCTTGTGACCATCACCAGGGGCTGCTTGCAGTGTTGCCTCCCCACAGATACGCTTTCTTGGTGGCAGCATCAATGTCAAGGATGGCATCTGGGGGGCAGGAGGGTGAATCTAACCCTAGCAGCTGTCTCTTCTGAACCAAACTGGCCACCAGCTTAGTTCCTCTCATAAGAACCTGCAGCAGGAAACACCTCTGTGAGGTGGGGTAGGAGGTGAGTGACTGGCAGTGGCAGTCCATGGCAGTGCTGCACGGGGGTTTGGGTGGGCGCATTTTGGTAGCATCAGCACCTGGGGGCCCAGGCAGCATCAGGCAGGGGCCCATCAGTGGTGTCGTGCCAGGAGCCCATTGACTTCACAAAAACTGGAACAATACAGAGAAGGTTAGGATGGCCCCTGCACTAGGATGACAAGCGAATTTGTGAAGTGGTCCATATTTCATTAGCCACCATTTCTGAGGCCTTGTGGAAAACAGGAGAAGTTTCGGAGGCATGGAGGGTGGCGTCACTGGTACCAATCTTCAAAAAGTGTAGCAGAGGGGACAAAGAAAATCATAGGGCAGGTGCTGGAACTGCTCTATAAGATTCTGGTGTGCCCACAACTGAACTACTGTGTCCAATTCTGGGCTGTACATTACAAGAAGGACATTGCAAGGTTGGCGTCAGTTTAGCAAAGGGCCACAAGGAAGGTAGGTGGATGGGGGGGATGAGGGGGTCATATGAGTTGAGATTGAGGGGACTAGGACTTTTCAGCTTGGAGCAGAGGAGAGTCTAAGGGGGTCTTATAGCAATATACAGGTATGTAAAAGGGTGTCACATGGTAGAGGGTTGCACCCTGTTCTCCCCTGTAGTGGAGGGAAGGTCATGGTCCACTAGGGCAAAGCTAAAGGAACTGGGATTTAGGTTGGATGTGAGAAAGTAATTTCTGATGGTTAGGACCCCTAGGATTTGGAATGGGCTTCCACGGGAGGTGGTGGAGGCCCCATCAGTGAAGGCATTCCAGGAAAGATTGGACACCCACATGCTGCACATTCTGTGACCAGAGCTGGCTTGTGCCAGGGGTCAGACTAGATGACCCCAGAGACCCCTTCTGACTTGCCATGTTTCTGTGTTTCTAAGTCAAGCATCAGCCCTGCTAATCTCATTGCACTCCATAGCTGTAAACAATTTTTCTGCCTCACTCATTATGAATAGGAGAAACTGGCTTAAAAGGCAAGAGAGAGAAAGATTTCACTCCTCTCTACTGCATTCTCCTTTTGGTATAAGAGACAGACCCACCGTCATGCCCCCTCCTTTATATGCGAATGGGGCAATCACATCCTTAAAGCACATGGAATAGCTCCCTGCCTGTAGTTGCACCTCTGTAAAACAAGGCATTCAAGAAAAGCCCATGGCTTACGTAGTGCTGAATAACCTTCTCCTGCAAGGCCAGTAGTAAACATTTGTAAAATTTCATTACGACAAGCCAAGAAAATAGCTGGGAGTGGAGGAGCAAACCCATCAAAAGAAATGACCAAGAAATTAATGTAGATGATAACTTTGATTTTTAAAATGTTCTGGCCACATGAGCAATCAGTTTCAATTCTACAGTTCATGTTTTTCCAGTGCCACTAACTTTAGCCCAGACCTACTTGGCAAAAGTTTTTTTTTTTCTTTAAGAATTTTAGCTGTAACTTAGAACTGATAAAACAACTCAGTATTACAGGATATATTTCTGGTGTTTGTTTCTTTTAAAAAAGGCATATGCACAGTGGTTGGGACAAATAGATCTGGCTTCCCACAATGCTTGTCATCTAATTAGAGCAGTGGTTTCATGGCCTTGTTTGCTTGTCTTCATATGTTGGGCTGCTGCAAACTTGAGTGTTCTTTCGTATAGTTTTGTTGAGAGGCCCGGTGGGGCAGCCGCCTCTGGCTTCCCATCCGTCTTCCTAGCAACATCAGGGAAGAAGCAATCAGTTTCTTGTGGGCATGGACATTTAGCCATGCCCATTCCCAGTCCCAGGAATGCAAATCAGGAATTTGCATATTTGGGCTGATCAGCTCGCGCGCGCGCTCTCTCTCTCTCTCTCTCTCTCTCTCTCTCTCTCTATATATATATATATATATATATTCAAGAACCAAGCAGATCTTTTTCTGTGGATAGGCTATGCTTTCAGGCCTAATCTGCAGTGATGGATAGGGCCAGGGTGACGAGCCATCTCCTTCTCTCTCAGACATCCTTTCTCTTGCTTTCACTTTCTCTTCCCCTCTGGCACTTCCTTCTCTCTCCCCACCCCCGCCCGGCTTGCCTGGAAATCTGAATTCTCAGATGGCAGAGGTCTTTTGCAATTAGGTCAAGAGTGGAATGCAGCAGTTAGCCTACCCCAATATGGAAGAGCCTTCGTGCAGCGCCCTCTGCATACCCAGCTCTCAGTGTGGATATTTAGGAAGACCATAGGTACAGCTGGCATAGTCAAGTGATGACTCTACCATCTGAGTCAGTTGACCCTGGAACATTAGGACTACCCTCACAGGAGCTGTACGAAATGGAGTGGAAGCAGGTGCAATGACTTCAGAACTTCAGTATTTTATTACAGGCTACCAGGAACGAAAGGGGGAAGTGCTATTTTGGGTGATTGCCATTGCCTTATTTAGGAATTCCTGTTCTCAACAGCGAGAGAATGGAGAGCATGCTGGAGCTGCCCCTTCAGTCTCCCTTTCTGTTGCTCTCTGCCCATTGGTGGCAACCATCACGCCATTTCTAGCACTGGAAAATCTATGTTGAAATTCCCTTGGACAGGTGGCCCTCTGCTTCTCAAAGTGGTGCTCCACGAATAAAAGCTGACGGAAATGGTCATGGGGACCAGGAACAGTGCAGTCATACACCTTAAGCATTTTTTTTGTACCGGATAGAAAGGCCTGACTAGCACAGATGTTCAGCAGCCCTACAATGGGGGAAGGAGGACAGAATTGGCGTCAGGACAGAAGGCTCTGCCTCCAGTAAATGCATAAGCCTTAGACTGGCTGAGAAAGCCCCTGTGCTGTGTTCCCCAGCGGATTTGTACTTGTGGACATATCTGGATATTTGATAAATCTGCTAAGGAACCACCACAAAATGGCTCCTGTGAGGGGTTGGCTATTCAAATGTGAGCTAAAGAGGGGTTGGAGGGGGATAGAAATATGGAAGCCAGAAGTTGTGAGGCAGGGGAAACAGTAAGGCAAAGGGAAAGAAAGAGGGCAAGGGGAAGGATTCATGAAGAAAGGGGCTGAGCGGAGAGAAACAGAAAGGGTAGAAAAGCGGGGAGAGAAGGGTGTGTAGGTGGACATAGACTGGGCCCGAAACCACTCTTTCCTTTGCTGCCTGCCTGTGCACAGCTGGTCAGCAGCAAATGCAGGAACAGGATGGAGAACCTGGATTCCTGGTGTTTGTCAAGGTTTCTTAAAAATTAAAAATACATGTTTTTAAGGGCACAGGGAAAGGAGAGGTTCATGGATGTTATTGCAGGGCCTCACAGGCACAGGGTGCCCTTGGGGTGTCATTAGAGGACCGCTTCCCCAGGAATGCCCTGGTGAGTTTGAGAACATTGCCTATACAAACTGGTCTTTAAAAACTTGTGGCGCAGGTGTGTACTTTGTCAGGCACTTATGTCAAGAACATTCTAGTTTTGCTGTGTGGACTCCTTAGAGGTAGACATGGCAAGGTGCACGCTTGAACCCTTCCATTTGCTTTTAAATGTAGATTTACATGTTTGTTAGTCCAGGGGTGGGCCACTTCTGTCCCTCCATGTTTTGACCTAAAACTCTTATCGCCCCTTGCCATTGGCTGTACTGGCTAGGGAAGATGGAATTGTAGACGAAACATCTGAAGAGCTACAAGTTTCCCACCCCTCACCATTGCACAATTTCCTTTGATGTTTTGCAGAAAGATACAGGAAACGTATTCTGGGGGTGAATGATATGATAATATTTCTGATGCTGATTCATACCAGTAATGATGACTAGGAAGGAGAGAGGTGTCTGATAAGTGATCATCTGCTTGCTTCAGAAAGAGCAAATGCAAAACCAAAACGAGTTTGTCCTTTAAGGTACCACATGATTATGTTTTGGTTTTGCTGCCACAGATGAACACGGTCGCCCCTCTGGAAACTGCTTGCTCCTGACACTGCACATCTAGTTTCGTGTGTGAGCATTTCACAGTGGGAAGAAGGGGAAACTCAGAATGCATCAAGATGCTGACTCATACTGTCCCTACCCTTGAGCAATTCAGCACCTAATAAAATTATTAATGCCTAATAAAGAGACGTACTTGACCTTTAAGGTTAATGACAGCTTTTTCATCACATATTTCTTTTGATTTTAAAAGGCTGTAATAAATATGTTCAGCCCTCCTTAAAGAACATGAATTTCAATGGATATGAGCAATTAATATCAGCTGAACCATTTTATTTTTGGGGCATATAAGCTCTAGAATTCATCTTCTCCATTACAAAGTTATATTGGCTGTCTTTGGTCAATTGATCTATCTGTACAGCTTTGTGATCCAGTTAACAACCTTTTATGTTTTAACAGTTTGTTATTCTTTCTATACAAGGCATTAATTATATACTTACAGTTCTTCACTCATGATAGTTTGGGGTGTGGGTGCTTACACACTACCATCCTCCAAGCATTTTAGCATTTATTGGGGTGGGAGGGGGGGTTCCCTTATAGGAAAGTCTAGCATATCCCTGAATGACAGATTGTAACTGGAGTATACTAGTGCAACTCTGCTGTGGCACGCATCACCTAGTGGTGGTGTAATGGAACATATAAAATTAAAATGTAGGAAATGAAAAGCTCCTGGAAAAATGTGTTTAGAGGTGCTGATCTTAATCCCTCTAAGAATTCAGAAGCCTTGGAAAGTGGCAGCTTAAAAGCCTCATGTGGAAAAGCCCTAGAAATAATTCATTTCAAGATAAGCAACAATTTCATATCCTCACAGTGGAACCACATTTGAGCTTATTTGATTCCTGCTGTCCTTCATGGTGGCCTGGCATTGAAGGGGCAACTGGCTTTGACAGAGAGCATTCAGGAAGCCCCATGTTCTACCCACGTGAAACTGTTCACCAGACTAAACCATACGGTAGGCTCAATGGCCCACCAGTCTGACTGAAGCAGTGATATATGTTTATTCATTAGGGCAAATGGAGAGGAATTCTTTGCCAAATGAACCTGCACTTGCCTAAACTATGGAATTTGCTCCTGCAAGTTGTGGTGGTAGCCAGGGACATGAATGGCTTTTCCAAAGGGTTCAGCACATTCACAAAGGATTCAATGGCAAGTGCTCTGGGGTGCTTAATGGTGACCTCGGAGCCTGAGGCAGGTGCCTCCCATTCCCCTTGTGATGGGACACGAGTGGAAAGTTAGTGTACTGAGGTCGCACTTGTGAACTTGCTATAAGATTCTGGTTGACCCCTGCTGGAT